GCCTTGACAGCCCAGCATGTCACAAGAGCTTCTCTGGCTTTCCCCTCTTGGCTCTGGGCTCCTGCTTGGCAGCTTCGGACTCGAGCTGGCTCAGTCGCTCCGCTGCTTCCTGCTTTGCCAGGGCTATGACTGTGCCATGGCAACACTTCCAACTCCCATGTGAGGCCTGTTGCTCCGCTTGATCCTTCGCAGCAATCTTCCTCAGGCTGCATGCCAATGGCCAGCCCAGGCACCCCATGCCTATGACGGTTTGAGGCATGGACCTTCGGTAGTTCATGTATTGCTCTTTTTTCTTGTGCAGTGCTTCCCTTTTGCGGAGGTCCTGCCAACATGTGCCCGCAACTGGGTTCGACGGGCTTGAAACCAACTAAACAACCCAGCAGTATGCCGTCCTCTTCAAGACCTTGCGTTGCCTGGACAGGGCTAAGTGAACTGAAGCAGGCCAGCACTGCACCGATGGCCAACCTCCAGTATTCGGATATGCTCGTCCAACTGTTGTTCCAATCGCTGCCAGCGGGAATTTCCGGCTGAAGACCCGTTGCCTTGGCTGCAGTTGTTTGGGCGGCAGGTGGGGGGGTTCGGAATGGGGGGCAGGAGGGTTCTGCACTTTGGGACGTGCTGGACTCCTGCTTCCGGACTATGAGTGAAAAAGGCAGGGTCACTTGCACTGGCATCGCAGTGGGAGTTGCGGTGCAGACATGCCACGCTCTGATTCTGAGCTTGGAGTTACAGGGTAGCCACGGCCCGAGGGCACCGTGGAGTTTTTCCGGCCCAGGGCATTGATTCGGCCACTGCCGCTCTTTGTTGCGACCTTGGCCTGGCAAGCACGGAAACTCGAATCACTTCACGGTAAACAAACACCACCAGAGTTGAAGGCAAGCTCGCCTCCAAATCCTTCACCTGCTCAGGGCAAACATGTATGTGGCCGAGATGGAGAGGTGTGGCGATCTAAGACTTGCACCCTTTGCCCTTCCCGCGTCAGGCGACGCTGGAGATCTGCAATCTGCTGGGTCTCACGCCGCCGCTCTGCCTCTGACACTGGTCCAAGGCGAAGGTTGCATGAAGGCTTAGGCCAGGGCCGGACTAGGATTCCGACTCTGACAAGTTCCGACCCTCTCTCAATCTTGGGAGTGGGACATGCCACATGCACGCCTGAAGCTTCCGGTCTATCTCAGCTTGGCTCTGCCCTGCCAAGGCGCAAGCCACACGACTGGCCAAGCTTGCTGCACATGGCCGCCAAGCTGCTCATTTGAGCAACTTCAACCTCCAAATCCTTCACTCTTTTGCGCTCGCTTTGACGCATTTCCTGGGGCAGGACATTGAAGCCACTGACTCTAAGGCCCACTTTTCAATCCACCCTGCCTTCAAGCGCGAGTACTCTTGTTGCTTCTTTTTCAGGGCCTCCATCTGCTCCGTGACTTGCCGCTCCAAGCGCTTCTTCTCCTCTTCACTTGCCGTCCTGACTTGTTTTGCTGAATTATTGGTCGCCTCCCTTATTTGCAATAGGAACAAGCACGATCTAAAGCTGTTTTTCACAATGGCTCATTGCCACTTCAATCTCCAAAATGAAACCCTAAACCCGAACAACCCAACAGCTAAATTGCAAACTCTCAGCCCAACCCCAAACCCTAAAGCAACATCTAAGAGGTGAAGCCTGAGCCCAAACCCACAACCCTTAAAACCCATAACCCAAAAACCTACGAGCGCTCCCTCAAAAAAAACAAAAACAAAACCCGAAGCCAATCCGAAAGTGAAAGCATCGCCAAGTCTACAATGGCTCAAGTGTCTGCGTCAACCAACTCCAATCCCAGTCACCAAGCTCCACGGAGCCCCATAACAATCAAGCTAAAATATTCCGACGTCGCTCCCTCCCTCCCACACTTCCCACACTCACTCTCAAATTGGCGCCTAGCTTGTTCTTCCAGCTTCTCAGACTCTTGCAATCGCACCTTCCGGGCACAAACAACACACAGACACATGCATGCAACACGCATGCAACACGCACACAAACAAACCGCCAAGCCCAACCGCCCCACTCACACCCACTCACGCGCATGCACCCACTCATATGGCTTGCCCTGGCAAAGGCCTTCACGGTGTCAAGCTGGCGCTGGGTCTCTTCTAACTCCGACTGGAGCTGCTCCATGCGCGCTTGGTACTGCTTCCGTGCGACACCCCACTCGCGCTCACTGCGGGTGAGCTCATCGATCAGGTCTTCCTGAAGGGTAAATAGGAGCAAGCAGCAGCAAGCAGCAAATGGCAAGCGTGTGATATGTTGCCGGCGTGAGCCAAGGCCGTGCATTGCTTTTGGCTTTGCGACATGCGCGTGCCTTGAGCAGCACGTTCTGCGAGAGTGACTGCAGCTGGTCTCGCAGATGCTGCTGCGACGTGCGCGTGTCCTGCAGGTTCGTCGGGCAAAAAAAGGTCACCAAGATCACATGCGGCGGGCATGGCGATACTTGGCGCATACGAAAGCTCCTGCAAATCTGGAGGTTTGGAT